ACTCTAGCATGAGATCTTTGCGACCCATGAGATTGTCTCATTGGTCTATTAACACGCCGCCACATTTACTGAATCTAATGGAAATTAGCGTGTTTTAGTTCAAGCATTAGACCGAACACCTACAATGCACAAAATCAAAGAATTCAAAACGTAGACAAATATAAATCATAGAGCTCCGAGATTAGAAATACGGATTAAATCGGGATGAGAGACCAACAAAATAAACATCGAACTTTATGTAATTTAATAATTTGGGATACCTCAAAAGAGCAAATTACCTGCTAGGGTTTTGTCGAATTCTGTTGATTTTCCTCATAATTTGGACTTTCTTCTCCTTAATTAACGAAATGAAGTCGAGCTTGGAGCTGAAGCGGATTGGGATCTCTCCTCATCAATAGTGTTTCCTAATATCTCCTCATGCATCCCCACCATTCATTTTGTGGGACCCACCTTTGCTTTTGTACTTACCTACAAAATGAATGGTGGGGATACATGAGGAGATATTAGGAAACACTATTGATGAGGAGAGGATCTCAATCCAGCTGAAGCTGGGTGACTCTTTAGGTGGGCCTAAACCTAATAAAATACTTACACCTTTTCTGGTTATATTTCACAAAAAGCCCCTTGGGATTTTTTTTTGCATGTTCGTTTTGAACTTTTTCCTCATAAAACGCCTCTGAGCTTATTGGATTTTTTTTTTTTGAGAACATGGATTTATATTTAATTGTTTGATTTTTAGCATTTTAACTGCAGAATATAAATGAACTTATAAGTTTGTAAAAAAGTGCAACAAATAGTTTTGCAGCAAATTTGATGGGAGGAAAAACTACAGACTCCAAATTGAAAATTTAAAAATACTCCACCTTATTCGGAATTTTTTTTTCAAATCCAATAGCAAGATCATCTACATCTATGTCTCACTAGATGATAAATGTCATAACTTTCGCATGAATTATTTTTTATGCAAACGTTGAATTTGCTATAAAAAAAAACTCTTCAAGTGCAATAGCAAGATAATCTGCATTTCAGCATTTGTGTTTCAATATATGATTAATTACAACTATCAAAAGAAATGGGTTTGAGGTTAACTTCCTGCAACTGCAATCCATTTTTGTAGCAAACCAAATTACCTCCAAATTCTCAAAAAAAAAATCAACTTTCCCCATGAGGCTGACTAAGCATCATTGATAAATACCTAAAATATTTTTGAGAGAAAAAAAATAAAATATTTCGATTTACACAATCAACTAGAGCTTTTGTCTGTGTATTTTTTTTTTCTCTCCCCAGAAAAATCTATCGTTTAACTCAAATATGAACTTCTCTAAAAGAAGATTTTCAGTCTAATATTTGTTCTGATGGATGGGGAAAAAACAATCTTCTCGTAAATATAAGCCTTTAACTCAAAATTGGTTGCTAAAAGTTAGCCGTGATCTACTTTTGTCCGTCGTGATTAGTCCAATCTCCCATTTTGTTTTATAAAGCCAAAAAAAAAAAAAAATGGATACCAAATTTAGAAATGCTAAAAACATAAAAATTAGATGCCACTATTTCCTCTACCACCATAAATGATTTCTATATATATGGTTGATGTGTCCATAAGAATCGAAGGAAAAAAAGGAAAACAAAAAGACTGGAAAAAAAAAAGAAGAGAAATTTTTTATAGAGCATCATCCCAGACAATAAAATTTGGGAGCACAACATAAAGATAAAGAGATTAACCTAATTATTGTAAGTTCGTCGCCATGTTTCTCCTCTTGTCGGCAATTGACATAGCTATTCTTTTTCATTTGGAATGATTTCTCTTATTTCCTCTTTTCTTTTTAAATGAAATATGCATTGCCATTTTTCAGTTCGGATATTATCTTGCTTTTTTTTTAGTTGTTCATTTCAAATATACATCTGGGATGTTTATTTACTTTATTTTCTTGGTTACATGATTTGCAAAATTGGTATGAATTTATCAATATTCAAGATGAAAATGAACAGCATCGTCAATAGATTTTAAATCATGAAATAATTTTTTTAAGGAAGCTAGGATCGATTAGTATCCCTCGTGAGATTTGGTAGAAATTGACAGGATGAGTTGATCATGAAGTGCAGAATTGTCTGTGCCATTCATTTCTAGCATCATTCACGTGTTTAGATATTTTAGTATCTTAAAATGAAATGAAGTGTTCGTATCTTCAATTTTTGATTAAAGGAATGAAATTAAGATGCTGTGATGCTTTCTTATTTAGAAAAGCTCTCGGGTCCTAGACTTTCTTGATAGAAAAGAATAGCAGGATTTACAGAGATGGAAATACACAAAGATAGAGGAGTGAGGGAAAAAACTGCATGTGATAATATTTAGGAAAGCTCTTCGGGCGTAGACTTTCTTGATAGAAAAGAAAAATAGATTTACAGAGATAGAGGGGCGAGGGTAAAAACTAGAAATTTGCATGTGATCAACCATTTCATGTAGTGACAAATGAGCAAATGATCGAGCCACAACTCCACTAAACTTGAAACATTTCCCCCATAATATCTTTTTCAGTCTAATTATTTGAGTTGAAAATACTTTGATTATGTTTTTTTGGAGTATTAAGTTGCAATAAGCCTTAAATTAAAATAAAAAACAAACAAAAAATTTTAAAAATTATAAATGGTAATAATTCCGGAGATGTACAAAGCCCATAATAATAATAATGTTAACTAATTACCCGAGTAAAATAAACAGTTTTAGGGGATATTTGGGGGAGCTTATTTTTCGATCAAACTAGCATACAAATTAGCGTTTCCATATCGACATGATTGGTGACATCCTATATAAACTAATTTTTAAGCTAATTTAAAAAAGTTGAGGTTTCCCATCTTAAATAACTAATTTATGAACTTATCTAAATTAGCTAGGTTTACCTAAATAAATGATAATTTTATCCAAACATTTTATATAAAAATTTATCATAAGAAATATAAGCTACCAAAAGCCAAACTAGCTTATAAGCTTTTAAAAAACTAGTATGGTGCACGTGCGTTGCACGTGTACTTATTTTCATATATATAGTTGTTTTTCTTTTTGAAAGTTGCATGTATACAATACTTGTTGTGTGTGCATTGCATGTATATATACATACTTCTTTTACTTTTTGAACGTTTCTATGGCTTGAAAATGATGAAGAGACTTAAAATATACATTTTGGAATATGGTGTAGTCATATTACTTTTCCATATTTGATGAAATAATCGGGAATATGTTGTAATTATACTAAAAATATAAAAATCATATATTATAACGATATATCAAACAATTAAATAATAAAATTGATATTATATATGTTGGATATAATTTTATTTACAAATTGTAAATTATTATTATTTGTTTAAAATTATCAACTAATTACCTTTAATTTAAAAACTCCAGATACTTGGAATAATTGATGGAAAGTCAATTGTTCAAAATTAACATATGGTGCTAAGAATTAAAGAATATGGTACAACCGTAAATGTCAAAATAAAATTATTTAGTTATTTGAGCTCAAAAAATTAAAGAATAAATTAATATTTTACTTTATTTGACATTAAAATAATGATTTTACTCAATGCCTGATAATCTCAAAATTAAATTAACAAACTTTTATAAATTGCACGTGCATTATAGAACTTCTACAAATTGAAGTTCGATCCTCCAAAATAGATAAAAATTCTCTTAAGTAAAAAACTAAAACTCCTCTCAGGTTATCTAGAGGAAGCTTCTTGCTCCTCAATGATAACACTTGCTTCGGGATTAGAAATAAATATTTCAATCACTATTTTTCAAAAGAATACAAAATAAATCCAATAACTCAAGAATTACCATGATTTGAGAATCTCCACATGTCGTGTCGCCATAGTTCACAGAGGTCTAAGACACGGACTCATGTGACAGATGGTCGCCTGCAATGGCAAACCGACGATAGCGAGAAAGGTAAATGAAACCGACGATAGCGAGAAAGGTAAATGAGAAAGATATATTTGGGAAATTAATGATGGATTTTTATTTCTATTAAATTGATCAGAAAACGTTTGATGGGATCAATGCAATTTAAGTACCTTTAATGGAAGAATTATAAAACCATAATTTAATTACATTTTAGACAACCAACATCCCTTATAACAAACCTCTGACATCTTTGATAATACTGCATAAATATACTATATATACGTTTTTATTCAAAAAGAATAAGAACAACATTTAATTTTGTGAAGCAAACCTTCAAATGGTATCTTCTTTCTATGATATTCCCTCATCTACACCAAATTAAAGAAGAAGAAAATTAGTATGAGAAAAGGCTAATAACTGGAAGAGAGAAAGAGAGAAAGAGGATGAGAATTTCAAAAGTTTTGATTGGATTAATGTCATTTAAGTGGGTTTGATGGAGTTATAAAACCATAAGTTAATTTAATTTTAATTTAACATGCAACAATGAAAATGCAACTCTTGTGTCTAACAACGGTTAGGGTATTCACTGTGAATGAAATCTCTAATGAATACTATGACTTTCATTTTTAATGGACTAAAAATTTGAGCCGATAGGAACGTTTTGAGGTTTTAGTTGGGTGCCATTAAATAGATATAATGGTACAATTAAAAGGCTATCTCTTCATGTACGCTATGTAATTAAGCATGAAGTATTATGTATATGATTTCATGTATGCATCTACGAGGGTGTATTTATTACATTTAGTTTTATTTAATTGAGGGTTATGAAAGGGATTTAAAGGAGTATGATTTATGATGTATGTGTTATGTATATGCATGCATGTGTTTTATGTATGTATGTATACATTTTAGAGGGTGTTTTTGAAAGAAATGTTTTAACATACCACCACACATTTATAATAGTATATAATAGTATATATATTAGATATTAGATATTAGATTAGATAAGCCCTCTTAATTACTCCCCTTGACTTCGTAACGTCGAGGAGTTTTTTAATCCCCGCTCGATCTCCAATTCTCCTTCC